ACCCCCTCCCTCAGCTGACAGCCCTGGCACCCGGGCAGGGCCGAGGCACGCAGCTTTCCCTGGCCACGGTCCCCAGCTCCACCGGGCCTGCTGAGGCCCCTGGCACCCAGGAGAGGGCAGTGGGGGGGCCCTGCTCTGAGCCTCCCTCCCCGCTGCGAGACCCAAGGTCTCCTGCCCCCTGCTCAGCCCTGGCTCGTGGGTGATCCTCAGCTCGGCGCCCCTTTCCTCCTGCGGCCCCGGAGATCAGAGGTCACCGGCCTCCTGCCCCCGCGCCACTCCCTGGTGCAGCAATCAGCCTGTTGCAGGCGGGCTGGGGGGCGCTGTCTATCTCCTCCAGGGCCCAGGGCAGGGTCCCAGCCTGCGGGTCCTGGGACATGTCTCCTAGGCTTGCAGGCTAGACCGGCTTCCCCAGGGGTGCAGGCTGTCAGCGGGTTTGCAAGCCCTGATGCCTGCTCCCCTTGGAGTGCGGGGGCTGCAGAGGCCAATGTGTGGGGTGGCTCTGCTGGAAGGCCCCGGGGGGCTGAGATGAGTCCCTGGTACCGGCAGCGAGTGGGAAGGATGGTGGGATTTCCCTCATCTGGGGTCCGGTCCCTGGCTCTGACTCTGCCTCTGACCCCGTCTCCTTCCCTCTCCCCAGGTCAACGACTTCCTGTCGGGAAGGTCCCCGCTGACCCTGGCCCTGCGGGTCGGGGACCACATGATGTTCGTGCAGCTGCAGCTGGCGGCCCAGCAGACGGGAGGGCAGCTCCAGCACCGGCACGTCATCGCCAGCCGGGGCGAGCCCGGGGCCGCGGCCAACCCCGCCTCCCACTGCCGGACGCTGCACGGGGCATCCGGCTCCAACTTCGCCCGCATCCCTGTGGTGCCCGCGTGCCAGCAGAGCCCCGCCCCCAGCCCCGCCCCCTCGGCGCAGGCGACGCCCATGTACTGTAACGCTACCCACCCCGCCCCCGTCACCGCCGGGATGTTCCGGTCGCACGGTGCCAGCACGCAAACGGTTAACAGCAGTGTGGTCTCCTCCTGCTCAGAGGTGAGCCTGGCCTGGGGGGCGCTGGGAGCCAGGTGGGGGGCTGGGAATGGGGTCCGCAGCTGGTGCTGGGCAGCGCCCAGTCTACTCCCTGCCCCTGGGGCTAATTGCAATCTTGAGCCAGAGTTTTCCAGCTGCCCCATTGCACTGGTGGAAAAACTGAGGCACAAAGCAGGGAGGTGACTCCTTTGACAGGGCTCGGCTGAGCTGGGGTTGCAATGCCAGTCTCCCGATGCCCAGGCTGCTGCCTCACCCCCTGTATCCCACTCCCTCCCCAGGAGCGGGTGCAACGGGGCTCTTCTGGCTCGGAGGCTCCAGACCGTAGCATCCTAAATGCCCCGTTAAATCCCCTTTTGCTGCTGGCTTTGAGCTGCCCTGATGAGTCAGGTCTTTGTGGCCAGGAGCATCTGCTGGCCTCTCTTCCCATGGGTGCTGGGAATGGGGTTGCGTCCCGGGCGGCGGGCTCCATTCCTGACGTCTCACGTGCTCTCCCCTCCTCGCCCGCGCCAGGTGGACTGCAGCGCCCGGAGCAGCAATGCCAGTGGCAGCAGCAGCCCGGCCCCGACGCCCCGATCCCGCAAACCCGGTGCCGTCATCGAGAGCTTCGTGAACCACGCTCCCGGGGTCTTTTCAGGGACCTTCTCTGGTACGAGAGACCCGCGGCAGGCCGGGGGGTGTGCGGGGGTGCCAGTTCTCATCTCGCCTGCCCTAGCCTCCCCTTCTGTTCGTCTGAGCGGCTGGAGGATTGGGGCCTGGGGGGGTGATGGGGACCAGAGCCATGCCCTTGTTGGTTGGTATGGTAACCAGAAGGTGTTGCCAAGTGATAGCATCTTGGGGGACTGAGGAGGGGGCAGAGGTTTCTGGCTCTCTTCCTATGCCTTCCTGCTGGCCGGGGTGGGATGCTCTGGGCATGACTGCAGTGCCCCGTGCCGTGCTCTTGGGCACCCCAAGAGTAACGCCAGTGGGTGGCTGGGAGTGGGCTCCCAAAGGCGGGGTGCCTGCGTGGCATGGCATTGGCCTCACCCGGTGGTTCCCTCCCGCAGGAACTTTGCACCCCAACTGCCAGGACAGCAGCGGGCGGCCGCGGCGCGACATCGGCACCATCCTGCAGATCCTCAACGACCTGCTGAGCGCCACGCGGCACTACCAGGGCATGCCCCAGTCCCTGACGCAGCTGCGATGCCAGACCCAGTGCTCCCCCTCGGCCCCCTCCTCCCCGGAGCTCGCCGCCAAAGCTACCTCAGAGACCCTGACGACGGCGACCTCCGTGGCCTCCCAGCCCCTGCACTCCGTGGTCCAGTGCCAGAGCCAAATCCGGATGTGCAAGCCCAGCGGTAAGCCTCACCTGCATGCCCCCTGCCCCAAAGCCAGCCGGGCTGCCTTCCCGCATCCGGTGGCTTGAGGTCCGTGGCCTGTCTCAGGCCTTGGTTTGTCCCAAGCCGCGTGGCTAGGGTGGCTGAGACTTGCAGCATGGGTCCAGCCTGCCATATGGAAGTCTATTGGCTTCATCCTCCATGTCCATCTTCAGAGGCTGACCCAGGGTTAAATGCCGCTTCCCCAGGGTTGATGGCCTTGGCGGGGTGCTGATCGCTGGGCAAAGGGGACCTCAGCGGTCCTAGCCGCCAGCCCCCCAGGCTGCCTGAGCCCCCAGCGGACAATGGGGAGGAAACCGGGGCGCTGGGGTGGAAGGAAGGAGACGGGCGCTCGCCGGGATTCGCCCGCTCCGGTTTGCTTCCCCTGCGTATCCGGTTCCGTCGGCTCCTTTGTTCTATAATTGTCCTTGTGGTGCTTCCACGCCAGCTGGCGGCGGGCGGGGGGGAGAGAAGAGGAGTGCTCGGCGGGGCGGGGGGCTCCAGTGCCAGGTGCAAGCGCTCCCAGATTGTGGAAAGCAGACTGAGGAGGTCGCCCCCCGTGCCCCCGACCCTCTCCAGCCTCACCCAGCAGAGCCAGAGGGGCTGGACCAGGCACCTCCTTGCCAGCCTGGCTGCCTCCAGCAAAGGGTTAATCCCCGGGTGGAACTGGCTGTGTTCAGACCCGCCATATGCTGCTGAGTAAATTGAGCCTGGGTTTTTAATGAATGCCCACTTGCTGGGTTTTTTTATGTCCTAAGCATCTAACGTAGCAGCCCTGGGCAGAGCCCAGCCTGCAAACCCAGCCCCTGGTACCACCGGTCTCCGTGCCCGGGCTCCTGACCCCGTGCGGACCATTGATTGCAGCGAGCGAGTAGAATAATTCGTGGGATGGAGGTTGTGGGGTCTCCGTAGGGTCTCCCATAGGGTCTCCGGGTTGTCAGAGCAGAGCTGGGGGAAGGGTCTCTGGCCTCAGGGGGTGGCAAGCCCCACGGGGCTTTGCTCTTTATTTTCAGGTCCTCTGCTTGCGATTTGCATATTGAAATCAGCTGCTTTGCCTGGGCTTTCCAGTCTAGACGCTGATTTGGAAAGGCACCGAATCAGGGCTGCGGAGAGGCTTGTTGGCACCTGCAGCACTGGGTGGGTCTTGGGGGCGCTGAAGTCTGACCCGTGCCATTCTGCTTTTCCTAAACTCTCCCTTTTCCCTGCTTCCCAGGGGTGTCTGCAGAGCCCTCCGGGGTGTGCCCCTGCCCTATCCCGGGATGGCTCCTTCTGTCCTCATCCGTTCCCTTCCCCTCCTGCCCGGCCGTAGCCCGCTCAGGTGCTGCCTCCTCCAGCTGGGCTCCCAAACCTGTGTGGTCAGGCTGATTTCTCTTCCTAGTTGGCTGGTTGGTTTTGATGGGGGCGGAGAGGGGACCAGTCCAGGCAGTGAGGAAGATGCTGAAGCTTTGAACTTCAAAGCTGAGATGCTCTTGAGTTGCTGATTTTTTTTTTTTTTTTTTGCATGGTGGGGGCATGGCTTGTGCCTGCATTGGAGGCCTGCCCCTCTGATGC